GAAGTATGGATAGCGGTATCCATATTGTTACACACATTTCATCACTGAAATATGGGTAACAGTATCCATATTGTTACACACATTTCATCACTGAAGTATGGATAGCGGTATCCATATTGTTACACACATTTCATCATTGAAATATGGATAGCGGTATCCATATAGGTTACACACATTTCATCACTGAAATATGGATAGCGGTATCCATATAGGTTACACACATTTCATCACTGAAATATGGGTAACAGTATCCATATTGTTACACACATTTCATCACTGAAATATGGGTAACAGTATCCATATTGTTACACACATTTCATCACTGAAATATGGGTAACAGTATCCATATTGTTACACACATTTCATCACTGAAATATGGTAACAGTATCCATACTGTTACACATTTGGACTTTGAAGTATGAGTAACATTACATATATTCATACACATTTGATTCTTGAAATATGCTGAAGAGAGTTGAAACCTATTAATCAATAATAATAAGTCTTCTTTTTTATTATTGGAATAAATTTGAATATAAACAATTAACTGTGGCCAGATCCTTTAGCGGCAATAGTATCACAAATCAAAGATAAAATAAGCAATATTCAATCAAAAACAAAATCATGTAAAGAACTCACCTAGGACTGTCACAGTCTCGAACTGATCTCTGGACACCACCCCCACACTTTCTACTACACGGACCATAACCTTGCCACTCTCCCCACTGACCATCAACGGGTTCTTGTTTTTGTTTATCAGCCACTTTCACACATTCACCCCGTTGGCACCACTAAAAATACGGTAATTACAGCAGTTACATATAGTTATACACTCAGTCCCTAGATGGCGTATCTATATCGAATTTCACGGAACATACGAGAAACTGTGAGAAAATATTATAGTACTAACGAATCGACATTTCAAAACGATTTTTTTTTTATATTTCATTAGATAGCACAATTATTGTTTTTTTTTCATGAAGCATGATTGTTTTTAATATATGTACAAAAATAACAACCGAAACAATATTAATAGACAGTACGTTATTGTTACTGTGTGTCTAACAGTAACATCCAAAACAACGTTACATTATTGTTACACTATGTCTAACAGTAAGATTCGAAACAATATTATATATTCTAGGATGACCATTATGCACACAAATTATTTACCAAGAAAGTTTTTGGAGAAGAAAATGGTGCATAACAACCGAGAAGACAACAACTATTATTGCAAGAGGTAGGTCAGGACCTTACCTTGTCAGGGCCACAAAATGTTCCGTCGGCCCACGGCATATGTTGAGTCCTGCAGCCGTAGGTGTAAGTTCCGTGAAGCGTGCACCACAACTTTCTACATACGGGCATGTAGGGGCAAATTTTTGACTCCCCGCCGAAAACCAGCTCACACTGATAATCCATGTCGTACAGTTCACCGAGGTACCTGTCGCTGATCGATGGATTATCCATAAGATTTTCCGTCGGCTTATCGTTAAGACATTCTCCTTTACCTGTGCTGAGAAAGGGCGTGGAGATGCTGTTAGAACCTTAATCACTTCGTTATACACCTATAATGAATGGTTTACATTTAAATAAGATGGGGGCTGGCTTGTTTGCTAAGGCTATTAACTCAGTTGTAAGGGAAGTTTAAACTAGGACTAGATAGCATTGAGAGAGCCAGGAAAAACTAAACGCAAAAAGAATAACATGCAGAGTAAAGTTTAGCATAGGAAATGAACATAGAAGTAGTTATAAGGATAGGCTTAATTTGTTATAATGGGAATAACCGAAACAAGGTTAAACGTAGATAATTTTGATGACAGAAATTTCTTTGAAATACAGGGTTACAGGCTATATAATAGGGATAGTATACTGAAGAGGGTGAGAGGAGTGGTTATATATGTAAAGTGTGAGTTACATCCTGTTGAAGTTCAAGATATCAAAGATAATAGCAAGGAGATTGAATCCATTTGCGTTTATTTTAGTGGACATAAATGGAAAAGGTTTTTAGTGGGAATTAGTTACAGACCACCAAATGATACTGATTAAATTAGTGAGAAACTTTACAATGAGATCAAGAGTTCAGTTGTTAATGAAGTCATAATTATGGATGGTTTTAATTTCAGGCATATAGATTGGGAAATGCTAGAGTCAAACCATGAGGGAGAAAGGTTTTTCGAAACTGTTCGGGATAGCTTTCTTCACCAGTTAGTCAAGGAACCAACTAGAAACAATGCTATTTTAGATTTATGGTTAACTTCAGATATAGAAATGATAGAGAGGGTGGAAATTGGGGAACATCTGGGTGCAAGTGATCATTGCTCTATTAGGTTCAATGTTTTGCTGCATATGGAGATAAGGAATAATGATGACATTTTGGTCACAAATTTCAAAAAAGCAAAATTTGAAGGGATGCAATAAGAATTATCTGTTGTGAATTGAACAGCTGAGTTATTTGGAGACACTGATCAGATGTAGAACATCTTTAAAGGTATATTTTTAAATATTCGAGGTAAACATATTCTTTATAGAAAGAAAAGGGGTAACTACAAGTATAAAACCAGGTTGGCTCACAAAGAGTATAGGAGACAAAATAAAGAAAAGCATCACAAATTTAAGAAATTTAAATTGACTGGTATGACACGAGATTTAGAAGATCAAGAAAGTTGGTGAAACAGGAAATTAGGACATCAAAAAGGATGTATGAGAAAAGGATAGTTGAAAATGTAAAAATTAACAGTAAGGATTTCTTTAAATACATTAAGGGTAAACAAAATGTTAGGATGGGGAAGGACCCTTGAGGGATGATAAAGGAAGGCTAGTATTTGATGATTATGAGATGGCTGGGTTATTATATTTTGTTTTTTCTTCGGTTTTTACTAATGAAGATTTAAGAAGTATTCCACATTTTGAACAGTTGATAAATGGAAAAAAGATCAAACAAGATGAGTGTATTAATTCTGAGCTGATTAAGAAAAAATTGGGAAATTAAAAAAACGATAAGGCTCCTGGGCCAGATAATATTTCCCCACAGGTTTTAAAAGAGGTGAAAGATTGGATATGTGAGCTACTTGTTACTATTTTCCGTCAGTCCTTGATTATTGGGCAGGTACCAGAGGATTGGAAGTTAGCTAATTAACTCCTCTTTTCAAGGGAGGTGATAAAAATTGTCCCAGTAATTATAGACCCATTAGTCTTACAACAGTTATGGAAAAAGTTTTAGAAAGTCTGATAAAATATAATTTGCAAAGTCATTTAACAAAGTTTAGAATATTATTGGATAGTCAACATGGTTTCACCAAAGGAAAATCTTGCCTTACGAATCTTTTAATATTGTTTAAAAAGGTTACTGCTTACATAGATAAGGGTAAGATTGTAGATTTAGTGTATCTGGATTTTCAGAAAGCATTTGACAAGGTGCCACTTAAAAATTATCTATATAGGTGTGGGGGATAAGTTAGCTAATTGGATAGAAGAAAGCAGAGGGTTGTTACAATTTGAGTTCAGTCAAACTGGATTAATGTCATGAGTGGGGTACCTCAGGGCTCAGTCTTAGGACCTTTGCTCTTTTTGATCTACATCAATGACAGATGAACAAATGGTCAATAAATTACTTAAATTTGCTAATGATATTAATATCTTGGGTGTTGCTAGTTGTGAAGAGGATGCTGCTGATTTACAAAAGGATTTAGATCAGTTAGTAAGTTGGGCAAATAAATGGCAGATGGGTTTTAGTTATAATAAATGCAAGATAATGCATGTGGGTTATCATAATTTGAATTATAAGTATAATTTGGATGGGAATAACCTTAACAGTGTCATGAAAGAAAGAGATCTTGGTGTAATAGTTGATCAGTCTCTAAAGCAGTATGCTGTTGCTAGCAGTAGGGCAAGTACAATTTTAGGTTGTAGCTACAGAAATATTGAATACAAGTCTAAAGAGGTTATAATTTCATTGTATAGGTCACTGGCCAGGCCACATTTGGAATATTGTATTTAGTCTTGGGCTCCTTATCTTAAGAAAGGCATTTAATTGTTGGAAGGGGGTTCAGAGAAGGGTTACTAGAATGTTTCATGGGAAGGAGGGGTTGTCATACAAAGAGAGGATGAGGTGTTTAAGATTGTAAATGGAATTGATAGTGTTGATGCATCATCTTTTTTCATACTTAACAGTGAGAATAGTAGGACTAGGGGACACAAATACACATCTTGGCAGGGTAGGAGTCATCTTCAGTTAAG